TTGAGAGAGAGGAGAGAGTGAACATGGAGTTAGTGTCATATGAATCTGATTCATGATGAGGAGAAAGAGTTAAGTTACTGTGTGTCAGTTTTTGGACGTAAGAGAAAGTTTGTCCCACTTGTTGGTGAATCCACAGTTCCTCTGGGTCAACACTCTTCTTAACCTATTTTTCGTTGTCTTTTTCTTAGCTTTCTATTTTTTTTCTTTCTTGTCACTTCATAGATTTCTATTTACATTCTTCAATCTCATTAATTTCGTGACAACTTACATTGCGATCGTAATTTTCTGCTTTCATTTGGAAAAAGGCCAATCCTTCCTTTTTAAACATAACAATGTAGATTTCGGTCCGTTATGATATTATTTTGTTACCATACATAGTCTCAAAATATTACCATAAATAGTTTTTTTCCTTCCGCTTTAAACTATATATAGTAAAGTGAATTAATTCAAATCTATTGTATAGGAAAATGAAGAGTTAGATGACTAAACCCCCTCTCCCCTCGTAACTCTCCAAACTTAATTTTAATTTATTTTTTTTAATTAATTTTCATATATTTGCATTGGTACAGTCTACATTGTATTATAAAACTAGAAGAGTATATTGTAGAAAGACACAAGTATATAGAGTTTTGTAATATTTTTTGTTACATTGACTTTTTCCCCCATTATTAGTGACATATAAGTTATAACACACGAAATTTGATAGGATATACGGAGTTCACCCAAATGCTCTCATACACGATATTCGATATGGCCACTATGGTTTGCTTCCTCCGCCGTCTGTAGATCCGACAAGCTTCGATGAGTGGTTCGACAAGTTCGACGAGTGTTCTGACCTCCCTCTGATGTTTGTCTGCTCGCCAACTCCTCCCGCAATGACAAGCCACTTGAAACAGTTCAACTCTGCTCACTGTCGGAGGTCGACTGTCCCGTCGCCGTTGCATCCCCCGCTCTGCCGGAGCCTGTGGACCCACCGGACCGGATGTGTTACCGCCGCCAGGTATCATA